TAACTCCCTGAAGAGATGGCAGCTTGCTTTCTTAAAATTCAGGGAATTCACTATCAATTTTTGATCCTATGGTCTTAGCTTTTTCTCTGTCCTTGTCTTCTAGCTTCTGACTAACAAACTACCTGATTTTGACTCCAGAACATACGCATGCCTGGCATTTCATGTCCCAGCTTTTTCTTACGAGTACTTTTTCCTGTTTTGGTGCTACCAGAGATGTGAAGTTTAAATCAGCCTCTTAGAGAAGGCATTTTATTTTTTCAACTTCTTCTCTCTTGCGGTGATTTTTGGTTTCCCCATTTTGCTTCTTATATTACCAATTTTCTAAAAATCTATGTGTGCTTGGCTAGCTCTCTGAAATCCATTATTGACAATTTCTTCCTCTAAACAAAAAGGAACAAAACCCCTCCCAGGCTTTGACCTTCTGGTGCTAACCCTGTATTTTCTTTTATTTTCTTAGGAAAGAAATGAAGAAAGTCTTCTAGCAGTTCTGCAATAGTTGCTTGACACTACAGTCTGGAGCTTTTCTTCACCTTAGCTTTACTTGTAGCACATTGATGATTGACCTCATGGTTAGAGATTATCTCACTTTTTCAGAATGAAACTGTCTCCATCTTCTCAGTATTACAGAGTTAGGCAGTGTTGAATTGCAGAGGGGACAGTATAGGCATCTGCAGGTCTCTGTCATGGTCATAATCCTATTCATAGAGCTTTTTTTTTCCTGTATTTGTGGGGGATCTGCCTTTGTTCAATTCAGCAATCTCTGCTCACCTTGTTTTGCAGGAACAGTGAACTGCACATGTGATACCTTTTCTAGCTTTTTCATTTTCCTTGATAAAATAACCTTATGTGTTCATTTCAGTAAGGTGTCCTGAAAAGGGCAAGAGGGTAAATGTTTCTTCATGTTGGCTTTTAGTAGCTGTGTTCGTTGATCATTGTTATTTTTTTCTTCTGCATCTTTTTGTTTACAGGTCAATTGTACAAGTCTCTGTGTCCTCATTTTAGCCTTCATTCTGGCCAAGACAGGATTTGGGAGCTGTTTACATCTGAAGGCAGATACCTCTCTTTATTTTTTTGGTCTTCTATGGGGAGATATGTAACCAAATCACTATATTCCTACAACTCTACTGGCATAGTTTCTTTTAAGTTCCTCTTCTAAGTTTTCTGTATTTCTTAGATTTAATTCAGAGAACAATCCAATTCCAATCTGTGTTGTCAAGAAGAGTGTAAATAAAAGGGTGAAGAGATGTAGTTGGCCTCATGGCTATATGAACAGGTTGCTTTTCCTTTGAATCTTTGCAAGCGTGAGAGGTGACCTAATAATTTGATGGCTGTCCTTCCAGGCATTATCTCCCACTCTAGTAATCTGTAAATATAGTTGCAGAATATTGTCTGTAGATGATATGTTCAAACTATGTTAAGTATGCCTTCAGCCGTTTTTATTCTACATTATTTGTACCATGTCAATGTTAATGCTGCCTGACTTTTGAGAAAAAAAAATAATTAACTGTTACTTCCATCAAAGTGTCTAGTATGGTTTGTTTGAAGAAACAGAAATGTTACAGCTATTGTAACAATTATATGTGTGGCTGTCCTAGAGCTACCAAGCTGGCTGTTAAACTGCTGTTGTGCAATTCAGATTGAAATTCGGGGTGAGTTGTGCAAGTACTAAAAAGACTAGTTTTGCATGATGCAGATATAAAGATGAGCCGTATGATATTTTACACCTTTGTTTTAGTAGCTTCAGCTGCTCAACAAAAGAAAATGTATTGCATAGTAGAGCTAAACTTTGACTATTGATAACTTTTTTTTTTAATTTAAGTTGGGACATCATGAACAGACTCTGTTTTAGCTTTGTTTTAATGTAATTGTATTTAATAACTTTTATTTAGTTTTATGATTCAGTATCACTGTATTTGCTTATTTTATGACACTTAATGTAGAACCTTTTTTCCCTGTTTTTCTTTCTGAAGGACCTAACCATATGCCTATGCAAGGACCTGGACCTAACCAACTCAATATGACAAACAGTTCCATGAACATGCCTTCAAGTAGCCATGGGTCGATGGGCGGCTATAATCACTCAGTGCCATCCTCACAAAGTATGCCAGTGCAGAATCAGATGACTATGAGCCAGGGGCAGCCAATGGGCAACTATGGTCCCAGACCAAACATGAACATGCAACCAAACCAAGGTAAGTGAGGTGCTAGTTATCTTCTGTAAAAATGAAATGTCTTGGGAATAGACTTTTTTTAAAGGTCTTCTCTTGTAGATTTCCTTCTCTAAATGCTTTTGTACCCATGTTTGGTGGACTCTACATCTCCTTTCTCCCATGTGTCAGTGACTATTTATTTGCAGAGCTTGAACTGTTTTCAGGTATTGTGTGAGAATCTGGGGATGGATCTGCTTTCATCAGTTATAAGTCTGAACTACTCTTTATCTTTCTAAGACTTCACACTTCTGTCTAAGTGTTATAATTGCTTGTGTTGATAAAATACATCTCTACTCTTCAGTCTCTTGGGTAAATTGGAAAATTAATGTCAGATAGCCCTCAGATTTTTGTACCTAATTAATCTTTGTTCTCTGCTGCATGCTGTTTTAGTGTGGAATGTCTGTTAATCTTAAAGAAATAAAATTCAGTTCCAGAAACAAATCCGGTACTCCCTACTGTTTTAGGAGATGTCCTTGTGTATATAGTAAAATTCAAAACTAATTTTGTATCTAGGATATTTGCATAGCATAAACAGATGATGTATCCTGTTGACAGTATGGTCCTTGTTGAAGTGCAAGGACACTGCAGAATTAAAATATTGCATTAGAGTCGCAACAGACCAAATTACTCAATTGTATGTATACTGCATATTCTTATAAATGTGCTTTACAAGTCAGCAAGCAGTATTTTTAGTTTACTTAAGTCTGTTACTACACTGGATCTGGACATACCACCTGCTAGAAGACATACTCCAGATTTTTTTTAGCAAAATGTTTCTGCCACCTTTATAGCAAGTATGTGTTTTTTTGCCAATATGTATGAACTCTTATGGACATACTAACTGAAGGATGTGACTTGAGTCAAGGTTTTAATCTCTTTTCTGATGCTGTAGGAAAACATGGGTTTTTTTTTTTCCCCTACGACTCCCTTCATGGTCATTGTAGAAAAAATAATCCTCCAGTGACATAGGTGGTTCTTATTGTAGTATACTCTCGTTGGGGACCAAAGCTCCACTTTGTTAGTTAGATACCATTTGTTCCTGAAGTGTACAGACAGACCAGGTCATACTGATCAGTTGGATTATTAGATCACAGGAACGTTCAAAACAGACAAAAGACTAAGTTAATGAGACACCAAAAATGAGTCAAGACCAAACAGCTGTTTCTGCAGTTTTCTCACCAGTAGTGAAAGTGGGAAAACAGAGTCCTTCATCGTCCACATTGTTCACGGTATTTTTCTTAAAATTTAACACCAGAGGCAGCAAAAGATAGCCGCATAGCAGAAGAAACAATCACAAGCGGGAATATTTTTGCCTGTGTCTCTGAACTGGCAAGTTCTGGCAGGTGTATTCTGTGCAATACACAATGGAGTAATTTTGTAAACATTGTAAGATGCTTTAGAAAAGTCTGGTGCATGGTCTGTTGAAATTTCTTAGGTGCAGAGAGTTAGCAATAAATATGCAGTGGTATGCGTGAGGGAGCTATCCACTAAGTCGCTCTATAGAAAACAACTTAACTTTGTGTGACTGGCTTATGATTTAGGACTAGTGATTATTCCATCTCAAAGTAGTGTTCTTTACTCTTCCTCATTCCCCTGCTGTATTTTCAGTACACCGTCAAACTTGAAGATTGTTTATTAGAAATTAGGCAGAAAGATACTTGAAAGGTTTCTGTTTTGAATAAATAATAGTACTGAAGCAGCTTTGGGGTGGGAATAAAGCAGTATCTTAACCAAATTACACACTGAAGAACTAGAACAAGAGCTGGTCCCATTGCCTGCACTTATGGCCACAGTAAGCTTTCACATTGGGTAATTCTACTTAATATATTTCCTCCATTTTCTACTCTTAGTTGTTGCGTTTGTATTGAGATTTGGTGACAAATTAGAGGAAATGTTTTTGTATCTTCACTCTCTTGTGATCCTAAGACAGCAGGGGAGAGAATGGCAGAGAAATCTGTGAGACCATGAGAGATTTAGGTAGGTAGCCAAGATGCAGTCTGGTTGGCAGAGAGTCTCAGCCAGGCGTGGGCACTGCAGGCTTCTCATCTAAGTGAAGAAACAAGAATGAGCAGCTAGGAAATGCACTGACATGCAGTTTAAGAAAACGGGAATAAACAGATTGTGTCTTGAGGATTTCTTGTGTTGCCATTCAGAAACAGAAATAAACCAAAATTTTCTGAACCTCAGTATTGTTGTCAGGAAGCATTTGTGAACCCCTAAGCATGCATTGTTTCTTACAAAGGGGTGATCCATATTGAGAATGAGAGATCCTACTATATCTGTCAGTTAGTAACAGCACTAGCTAAATATAATGCTGAATATTCCACAAGAGAAGGTCTTAGCATCTCAAGTTGGCTGTTAAAAATTAGTAGATGTTTTTGACCTTAATCTTTCCCTGCATGGGTTCCCCATCTGTAGAGGAATGAATCTGATGGTAAGATTATAACACCATCTGATTTCACAGGAGTGTTGTGAAAGTATATTCATTATGAAGATTTGGACATTTTAGTTATGAGTGCCATAAGAAAACCCATGAGTAAATTAATAATTCTGTCTTCAACATCTCACCCGAACAATTAGGAGGAAACAAAATATTGAAATAGCTTTCTAGTGAATAATATCTACTGTGTTCTGAATGAGACCAGTACTTTTAGAAAAAAAGCATGCTATTGTATAATAGATAAAGACATCGTAACATGCAGAAAGGTTTGATCTAACTTTTGGGTGGTTTTAGCATAACTTCTTATGTGTGTTTTCTAACAAACCATCTTGCTGCATATACACATTTTGAGGCAGATGGTGTTAGTAAGAAAAAATGACAAAGTGCTAATTAAGAAATAAAATGCATTGTAACAGAACCCATCATTGGGTTTACTTTCTGTCTCCACTTTGTACTTGTTATTGATTTGCAGTATTTTATAAAATGCTAGCCAGAGGAATATCTTAAACGAGAAGCAAAATTTTCATGGCATTGTTTTTATATAGTCAGTCCAGTTCGAAGAATTTTATGCGTTTTGGACTTAGGAAGCAGGATGTTTTAAGTAGCAGATTCTGTAGATGACTTGATTAAAAAGCTACTGTAGCAGCCTGGGACATCTGCAAGGAATATTGGCTACCTTTTTGAAAAGATAGGAAGCAGCAGGAGCTGAGTGGATGTGGAAGAAACTCCTCATGGATGCATTTCTTCTTATGTATGGGAAGCTACTTATGTTGAATGAAATATTTCAAGTCTTGCCAATTTTTGACTTTTCAGAGGGGAGGTATAAGCATGACTTTCTGGAACCTGAAAATTACATGGAAATTCTTCTTTGTATGGAACAGATCTTTCACAGTTAGAGAATAATAATAAACAGTAGAATTCAAATACTTTAAAAGAAAGGACCAAGACACTATAGCTTGACCATCTGAGAAACTTTCTCAGATCCTCTTGCTAGGATTCCATTCCCTTGCCAGAAGCACTTGAAGCAAAGTTGCCAAACTCACCAGTCTCTATTTAATGACGTTGCTTGGGGTGAGGGAGGGGGACTAGTTTACTTTCAACAGGTGAACTCTAAGTAAGAATATCATGTTGACTCAATCATTTCCAGAAGACCAACTGCCAAATTTGGTGCTGAGGTTTTTTAATGACAGTTTCATTTATATAAACTTACAAACATTCCATTGAAGTTTCAGAGCTCTTTCGATTACAAGCAAATATGAAGAGATCATGGAGACAGCAGAGATGAGGCAGGTGCAGAATTCCTGTTCTTTTGTTGTCCACATAAGGAAGATAAAGATAGGAACATTAAATGTTATCTGAAATATATTCAGGGTATGACAGATCAGGGTAAAGTTATTTCTGAGGTTGAGGACCTTTTGTGAATGTCTTGCCATCTTTTTGTTCCCACGTAAGCAGAGGCTGTTAGTTTCAATACCTCAACTGCTTATAGGTAGCCATGATGTCATGGAGAAATGCATTGTTTTTTTTGTGGCAAGGTTTTTGTAGCAGGGGGGCTGCAGGGATGGTTTCTGTGAGAAGCTGCTAGAAGCTTCCTTTGTATCAGATAGAGCCAATGCCAGTCGGCTCCAAGAGAGACTCTCCACTGGCCAAGGCTGAGCCCATCAGTGACAATGGTAGCACTTCCAGGATAACATAGTTAAGAAGGGAGAAAAAAAAAAAATATGGTGCACAGCAATTGCAGCCAGAGAGGAGTGAGACTGTGTGAGAGAAACAGCTGTGAAGACAAGGTCAGTGAAGAAGGAGGGGGAGGAGGTGTTCTAGGTGCCATACTAGATATCTGCCTGCAGCTCATGGAAGACCCCACACTGGAGCAGGTGGATGCCCAAAGGAGACTGACCCTCTGGGAAGCCTGTGCTGGAGCAGGCTCCTGGGAGGACCTGTGGACCTGTAGTGAGAGAAAGGAGCCCACGCTGGAGCAGTCTGTTCCTGAAGGACTGCACCCCATGGAAGGGACCCAGGCTGGAGCACTTTGTGAAGAACTGTAGTCTGTGGGAAGGACTCATTTTGAAATTTGTGGAGGACTGTCTCCTGTGGGAGGGACCCCAGGCTAGAGGGGAAGAGTGTGAGGAGTCACCCCGCCCTGAGGAGGAAGGAGCAGCAGAAACGACGTGTGATGAACTGACCACAACCCCCATTCCCCGTCCCCCTGTGCCACTGGGTAGGGGGGAGGAGACAGAATTTAGGAGTGAAGTTGAGCCTGGGAAGAAGGGAGGGGTGGGAGGAAGGTGTTTTAAGATTTAGGTTTTATTTCTCATTATCCTACTCTGAATTGATTGGCAGTAAATTAAATTAATTTCCCCAAGTCAAGTCTGTTTTGCCTGTGATGGTAATTGCTGAATGATCCCCCTGTCCTTATCCTGACCCATGAGCCTTTTGTTATAGCTTCTCCCCTCTGTCCAGCTGAAGGAGGGGAGTGATACTGGGCTTCGGTGGGCACCTGGCATCCAGCCAGGGTCAGCCCACTACAGCAAAGCAGGGCACTATCAATTTTTTTGACATCTAACCTATTAAAGAAAAATAGAATTGCCTTCTTGTTCTGAAGTGCCATCATGCTATAGCTGGATTTTTAGGATGTCTAGCTGTAGAAGACACTGCAGTTCTCGTATTTTGAGAAAACGAAATATATAAACAGGTGCCACAGTGCTTATTCTTTCGTCTTTCTTCCTTAGTGTAAAACATGAAAGGTGACATTGGTAACTAAATTTTTTGTGAGACTTAATTTTATGGTTTTTTTCTTAAATGATACCTGAAATTATGGTTCAGTTTGAGATGAGAACTTTGTGGACAAACGTGTGGAGATGTTTCTGCTACCTTTAATTGGCAGCCTAGATCATACGTTAGGAGTAGCAAAAAATTTTGTACCATCAAAGTCTTTTGAGATAGTGTTTAAACTACCTCTCATGTTAAAACACCTTTAAGATTTTGGTTCATTTGACCAAGTACATCTGAATTTTAGCTTTTGTCAAGAATCTTGAGAAAACTGAGAGTTAAATTTACCCTACAAGTAGAGTTTCTAAGCTGCTCTTAGCAACAAAACCATATTTTTGAAGGCTGAAGAAACAATAGCTTGTACTGTTCCATTTTGGTTATACCCAGCTGTTTCATAGCTCTTTAATCAGAACAGCAGAGCCACCAGTTCACCTGTGAGTGGCTCCGCACTTCTCTGCTGCTTCAGAAGTTTCAGCTGCGTCAGCAGTTATTCTTGTCCTCTCATAGCATTTGCCACCAGTATCTGAGTTTCAGCAGAAGAGACAAAGCTAATGAGACATTTTTAAACCGCTAAGTCTTTCTGCAGCTCTTTCATCCTCAATGCACTTCTGTTCTCATATTTGTTAGGTTTATCTGGGACCACTTCCAGTCTGCATTTCTGTTTCTCTCTATTAATCTTGCGTGTCTGAAGAGTAGGTTGTTGGTTTCCGTAAGTCATGTCAGGAGACTACCACTGGGTCAGTGCATTTACAAGAAGATCAGGTACCAGCCCATTTTCACTTAGATCCACATACCTTTTCTTCCCTGTACGTGAGTCGTCCTTATGAGACACTGGCTGGAGCAGGAAGGGTTTCCATTTAGTGGGTGTAGATGGCTTTGTAATCAGCAGTTGAGGAAAATGTTGTGTATTCTTGATAATATAGACTACTTTTTAATTAAATTGAACAATGAGCAGTTCAGTTTTCACCTATTGTCTGGCTTGCTTTATACATTCACTTACTCTGTAAGACTGATTTGGGTCTATACTGCATTTTTCAAATGCTTGTTTAATGACTACCAAAATTGTCTGCACTCCTCACAGGACCTACATTATTACTTCTTAGCATCTTTTTCTTCAGACTTTTATCCCAGGAATGCTTCCAGTATATTGACATGTGAAGGCTGCCTTCTGAATATACAGAAACGTTTATAGGGCTTTAGTAGTACAAAAGTTAAAATAGTTTATAGGAAGGACAATAGTCTGCTTATGTACTTGCATATTTACAGGGATTGTCCTTCACAGTATTTTCTTGGACTCATTTTGTATTCTGTACTAATCAGATATTTTGTCCTGTGTGGAATAAATAGTTTTGTGAACTTCTGTGTGTGAAGTCTTATCTCCAAGCCTGGAAGAGATCCTGACTTCCACTGAGTGTAGTTTGTTGTGACCTGATTGGAGATTCAAGAGCTGTATTTTAAGTGGGCTGTAAAAATGTGTGATACAAATATTAGAAAGTCTTAGATTGTGAACTAATGGTCTTAAGTTTTTGACTTAAGTGTTGTGAAGGGGTTTTCTAGCTTAGTTTTATGTCATATTAAGTATTATGTGATGAATAAATGTAGCTTCTTTGTAGGCTTGATGTTTTTTTTTTAAAGAAAAAATAAATTCCAACTTCCCTCACTGCTCAAAACTACCGTATAAAATGGTTCTGTTGCATGAGATGGTAAGAGATGATGATGGTTCTTTTATGTATCCTCTTAATAAGAGAAGTGAACCAAACTGGAAGGAAGCCAGGCACTCTGTTATTAATACAATACACAGTCTGATACAGGGTAGTGAATTCTCATTGTGGCTCTACAAAGCGTTAATGAAGTTCTAATTTAAAAAGCAAACAGAAAACCTCTACATTGCACCATGGGGACCCAACACATTTTATCACATTGTATTGTGACTAATATTAATATTGTTAATTAACAAGCTTTCATGAGATCTAGGAATATTATGGCAACAAGTTTTTATTTTTTTTTCAAGACTGCCTAATGTTTCTCAGTACCTTCCAACAGAGGAGCAGTGAAATGGAATGATCTAAATTACCTACTCATTCAGAAGATCAAAAAATGAAATATATTTTTGCTAAGTGAAAAGTAATTAGTCTCAATTTAAACAATTTTTTAACTTTCAAATCAGGACACAGAGACTGCCATGCTGAAGGATAGAAGCATAACTGGATCATTTTAAGAGTGGCCAATATTTATCTTCAGAGGAAAATGAAGCTTAACAGAACCACGGCCACTTTACTTCTCACTGAGAGATCCCACACAGGGGTTTAATGGGATTTAAGTAACGCACTTTGAATGCATACCATTAATTAATTTGGCTTAACTTTCTCTCGTAACCCCACATAGACAGGATCTAAGCGACTATGTATTCCTTCCCTTACATGAATCCATTGTCAGTATGGACTATATCTAGACAACTTTCCAGTACTGCAGTTTCTACGTAGGACTTGATGCTTGTGCTCCAGCACCTAGTTATTTAAAAATACTAAATGCAATGGAAAAGTCTAGCATATAGAAAATTAGATAATACCTTCCTTTTTCTCCTGGGGTGGGGCTAAGGAGTGGCTGTGCTAGTTTGATGGTTTGATTTGTTTTGTTCTTTAGTGAGACTGGTTACTTGTTGTCTTTGTTGTTTATAAAATAAATTAAAAAATAAAAAGGGAAAAAAAAGCTTAGGGCTTTGCCATTATAAAGTGTGCAATATCTGTTACGTGGTTTGCATTAATGTATTATAAAAATATGCTGTTTAGGAAGTTTAACTCCTTGTCACAACTCGTTCTTCCTCATATTTTTAATTCTGGAATAACTTTTTTCTGAAGTGGTACTACAGAGGAAGTGAAGAAGCTGTTCTTTGTTAAATATTGTATCCACCTAACCTGCAATCCCATATAATGAAGTGGCGTAACCATTTTCATTGCTGTATGGTGTCGATCAGGTGCAAGTGCTCTTTAACTGTCTGCTTCATTACTGAAGTTTGCATTTCTCCAGGTTCAGCCTTAATGAGATTTTCTCAGTTGATGAAACATGGGCGGTACTTGATCTCTCCTGGTCTATTCCTATGGCTCATAGAAACTTGGTGCAGCTTGGTGTGAAAGAAGTTTTTTGTTACAGGCTGCTTGGGGCTGTTAAGTGATGGGCAGAGCCTGTATTCCTGTGGGCCTTTCTGCATACTGCCCAACTCACTGGTACATGTGGTTTATCTTTACAGGATAAATAAAATCATGTATTTTGTGATATCAGTTAAGTGGCTTGTTGATGGACTGTGACAACAGAAGTCATTTTTCTATGACTTCTCAAGGTTTCACCATCAGGGCTTCATCTACACTTTTTTTGCAGATACTTTTTGAAACAAACAAACAAAAAATTAATATAAATATTAATATTTATCTTTGTGCATGAGTAAACTATGTCTGTGTAGTTAGAAGAAAAATCGTCTAGAAAGCAGCCTTATTTAGGCCAAGTTGTATTTTGTAACTTGGTTACTGAATTGATTAGCTGCATTTGCATAGGTCCAGAAACAACAAATTCTCATGACAGCGCTAGAAATACGGAGCCATTTTTGGTCCATTTTAAAAGGTTGAGTTTTCCATGTTCTTTTTGAAAGATTTATTCATAAATCGTGTTACAGAAGACTTATTTGCTACTTTTCCTTTTTGCAGGTCCAATGATGCACCAGCAGCCTCCCTCCCAGCAATACAACATGCCACAAGCAGGTGGCCAGCATTACCAGGGGCAGCAGGCACCTATGGGAATGATGGGCCAAGTTAACCAAGGAAATCACATGATGGGTCAGAGACAGATTCCGCCATACAGGCCGCCACAGCAAGGTAGGACTTCACTTTGGTGGTTTTACATTAATTTTAAACAACCATCTTTAAAACTATTTTAAATCGCTTCCTTTCTTGCATCAAATTTTGAACAAATCATTGGGTGTCACAGGCTTTGTTTGCAGACTCTTTGTTACCCTCTTAAGAGTGGTTCTTGCAGCAACAGATTACTGGTATCACCATGAAACATGAAGACAAGTATTTCTTTGTTTTGAGTTCTTTCTGACAAAAAGTATCTAAAAATATGCATCTCAAATATGCTGATACCGAATTCTGTTTCAATATTTAAATGATAGGTATAGAAAAGGAACAGAGTACCTGTTTGGTTCTGAATTTGTTCAGTTACAAAAAAGGAACAATGTTCCACAATCTTGCTTCTTTTTTTTTTTTCCTTCATTCCTTTTAGAAAATGAATAACTTTATTTTTAACAGCTTAGTCTGTTACACGCATGTTCCTAAAATGAGCTCAAAACTGATGTTTGATATATATCTATATCTATATATCTGTATGTGCTCAATCTAGAGCAGCCAAACAACTCTGTGTGTGTGTGTGTATATAGAGAGAGATAGATATACTTAATTTTTTTTAAAGTAAACCAGATTACATATGTTTTTTGAAATGCAACAATATGGGTGGGGAGTACATTTGAGAAATTTTTCTCATACTAAAATCAGAAATTAGCAGGCTTTATAACAGAGAAAACAAGTTATTTACGTATTGACTGGTTGTGGTTTTTCAGGCCCACCACAGCAGTACTCAGGCCAGGAAGACTATTATGGGGACCAATACAGTCATGGTGGACAAGGTCCTCCAGAAGGCATGAACCAGCAATATTACCCTGATGGTAATCTCTCATAAATGTTAACTTTCCCATTTTCTATACCTGCCCAATATTAATGTAGTTATATGCCCAAAATTAGGGAACGAGGCAAGAATCATAATTGGATATCATACCTCACATTTACAAAACCTTCCAAATTCAGAATTGTTACTACAGCTTAAGTTACTATGACTAGTTAATTTTACAATTTATTCAAAGTATGTAATCTGTAATACTCCCATTTGAAACTCTTAACAACAGTTTTAGTATTTCAAAATGAAAATTCTATAATTGGTTTATCTAAAAGTATGAAGGGTTCCTTAGCATATCTAGTATAATTGAGATGAATTAAAATAGTCATAACTTTATTATAAATAAGAGAGGGGGCGATATCCTTTTATTAAAGATTTTATTGAAGTGGAAAAACTTGTTAAATATGTGGTTTTTCTGTAAATATTCTATTTTTTAATGTAGTGTTTAGTTTTAATATGTCGCACAAATGTGTTATTGCTGCTATGGATGGTATGGGCCTTGAGCTTAATTTTTACCAAGGAATAAAATGGTCCCTGCCCTGAGGAGCTTGTAATTGTGAATCCTCTTTAGAAGTCCCCCCAGTGCCTTCAAGACAAGAGCATAACTTTGAATTGCATAGATCTGTCCTCCTACCTCTTGGAATTTTCAGAGTGCTGAAGGCTATTGGATTGTGTTATAAGTTAGAAAAGTTGCAATTAACCTGTTTTTAGGCTGAGCACAGACTGGGAGAACAAAGATGCTGACTCATGACTACTGTGATAACCATGTGTGCAACTTAATGGTATCTTATGAAGTTCAAGGAATGTGGTAGATGCTAACGTTTTGAACATGTTGGAAGTATTTAACAAAGCAAAAGCTGCATAATTGCCATAGCAACTACTCATTGCAAATGGAAGGATACAAGTTATTTGTTTGAATTTTAGTTTCTATTAAATTGATTTTTAAGATACATCAAGTGATGTCTATACAGGCTTACATGTATTGTTTTTGGAGATGTATGTGTAGAGTTATTTTACAAGTTGCATTAGTTTGTAATAAATTTTTAGTTTGGAACTTTTGTGTTATACACGTGAACTTTAGATGGTTACAGGCGCAATTTACTGTAGTAAGGGCAATTGGATGTTACCATCGACAGCTCTGTGGCAGCACAGATTACTTCTCTAAGATCTGTTCCTTCTAAAGATTCATTCTTTATCATTACCTCATTATTACCTTTATATAGAATGTAAAGAGAATATAAGACTTGTGTTAATGGTTATGTATTTGTATTAGATTCAGTTGATGTATGGCACAGTTGCAGAACTAATTACAAATACCACTTAGATTTAGAACGATTTTCTCCTTTCCTTATTTTATTCCAAAATTTTATTACAAATGTATGTAATTTGTATAGTTTCATTTCAAATTTAAACAAAATTTTGGCTTGTTTTCTTGACCAAGTTAGCAATAAGATATATTTTGGTCATCTGTAAGACAAAATATATTTGTTCTAAAAACTACAACAGGTGGGGTGCTTACTGCACGGATTGTTTTTTTAATCAGAGTTGGCTGTAGTCTCTAAAAAGGAAGGTTAATTTCTAATGATCCTACTTGGGACTGGATTGTAAGAGGAAAAGATTTCTGAAGACTTGAGGGAATTCTTTTTGTAGGTAAAACCTTATTTTTCTGTCACTTAAAGGCAAAATTTAATGTAGACTGTGGCTCATAACTTCATTGAGCTTTATTTGTTATATTTCACACTGCTTTTAGCATATGCTTTTGAATTGGAGATCAGCAGAACAGGTGTTAGACAAAGTATGATAATTGCTTTCTTTGTTCATTCTAATTTAATTCAGGTTATTTACATGTGAAAGGCCTAAATGCTTTCTTTTTTTTTTTGAGTGAAAGATAAAGTACTTCCCCCCCCCCCCCCCACAGGATTAATCAAAGGCTACA